AAAAAAACTAAGAGAGATAGAAAAAACTAAGAGAGATAGAAAAAGACTAAGATATAGAGAGAGATAGAAAAAAACTAAGATAGAGAGAGAGAGATAAAGACTAAGAGAGAGAGAGAGAGAGAGAGAAAAAGACTAAGATATAGAGAGAGAGAGAAAAAAAGACTAAGAGAGACAGAGAGAGATACAGAAAAAGACTAAGATACAAGAGAGAGAGAACAAAATACTAACATCTTTGACACATTCTTTATTACATCATTACACTACACATACAAACTCTTTAACACAAATACACAACTAAAACAATACACTTTTTTTCAAATACATAACATTACAAATGCATCATTACACCACAACAGTACATCGCTAACAAAACCTTCTACAACTCCTACTAACACAAACTAACTACTAACTACAAAACACAACACAAATACTGTTACAACTCACATCACTGTCACAAAATACATAAAATACAAAATACACTTTTAAACATTCTTTATTACATCAATACAATACAAAAAATCCTTCACAATAACACACATTGCAATACTCAACAAAAACAATACACTTTTCTTAAAACTACACACAAAACCCCAACTTACATTACAAACACAGACAGACACAACAATAAACACAACAAAGTCACATAAACAATAGCCAAACACAAATCACACAATAAACACTGCTAAGCAATAACAGCGAGCGCCAAACAGTCACAAACATTACAGCAGAAAAAAAAAAAAAAAACACAGAAAAAATACCCCAAAAGGACACAGGCTAACACAAAACCATTTAATCAGCCTTCACAACACCCTGCCACTGAGAACAATTGCAACAAACCACACAGCAATGCGAAATCCCACACACAGCAACAACAAATGTCACATGAACAGCAGTCAGCACATCAAATCACAAAACAATACCCACAAACTCCAATGCAACAAAGCTCTGCAAATTTTGACACACAAAACACTCTCACAAACGGTACCGTTTCACTACACACACCAAACAACAACACAAACAATGCTAAACACACACAACACAGCCAAACACAAAGACACAACAATAAACACAACAAAGTCACATAAACAATAGCCAAACACAAATCCCCCAATAAACACTGCAAAGCAATAACAGCGAGCGCCACATAGTCAAACATTACAGTGAGAAAACAAACAAAACCCCCCCCAAAAGTACACAGCCAAACACAAAACCATTAAATCAGCCTTCACAACAACCTGCCACAGAGGGCAATCACAACAAACCATACAACAATGCCAAAATCCACACACAACAACAACAAATATCACATAAACTGCTGTCAGGACATCAAGTCACTGAACAATACCCACAAACTCCCATTCAACAAAGCTCTGCAAATTTTGACACACAAAACACTCTCACAAACGGTACCGTTTCACTACAACCACACACAATTCAAACACATAGTCACAAAACAAAACATACAACACAAACAAAACAATACACCCCCTTACTGAGCAACACATAGCATTACTCAGAAAGTTACGTCGCTAACACCCACGACACAACCCCAAACACTTCTACCTGACTACCAACAGCACTACGATGTCACATTTCAACTACTTCATTTGAACACAAACATAATAACAACAACACTTTCAGTGAATCAGCATGTCCTCACAGATAGGCCTTTACCAGACCATTAGGTCACTAATGCTATGACTACAAACTCATCTCAGCAACCTCTCCCATTTACTGATTGAGTGGTTGCATTTCAGCATAACGCTACACCGTCCAAAGAGCGGCTCACTAAACCAGAGGGTACCGGCTCTGGTTTTGGACACCGCATCCATGAACTCGGCAGCCGCTGAGAACTCGTGACTGGATTCCTTCAAACACCACGAAAAAGAGGAAGAACACTTGTAGTAGTAGTACATGCAAAGTAATCTGTAGTAGTAGTAGTGCATGCAAACTAATGTGTAGTAGTAGTAGTGCATGCAAAGTAATGTGTAGTGCGAAGGTAATCCACATCACTAAGCTCTCACTCATTGTAAACTACAACTGCTATCGCTAACCCTTCCCTCGCTAAACTAATACCCCATCTTTGACTCTCCGTGACACCACATGCTGATTCTTACAACATCGCCACAACACAACCACCAACAACAATCCATTGTTGTTGGTGGACCTCCTGTCCTTTGCGCCCATTCCAGGTCCTCGGAGTCCGCCACTTGAACGTCGACGAATCCCTTTAGTCTTCCAGCACCTTGGCAATATCTTCACTCCGCCACGGCCCCGACAACGCAGTTCTGACTTCTGACGCAGTCCTCCTTAGCCTCTCCGACTCCCGTACTCCCAGCTCCACATCCAGATCCAACGTGTACCTAAACATCAACAAATCGCTTTACTTTTCCTGCACCTTGGCACTAACACACAATTGTGCACTCAAAACTCAATACTTACCTTCGCTCCCCCACAGCACCCGGAACGCAGCTCCGACTCCCGTACCTAAACATAAACACATCGCTTTACTTTTCACACACCTCGGCAAAGACTCCAAATCCTGCTTCTACAACTCCATACTCACCTTCTCTCACCCACGGCACACAGGACTTCTGATCCAGTCCCCGTTACCTCCGACTTCTCATGCAGTCCACGTTAGCCTCTCCGCCTTCAACCAGGATCCATCTTCTTCCTACTCCGTCACCTCCGGTCCCCCAACTCCTACTCACACATCACATTGGTCACACATTCGACAAATGACCACATCACCCACAAACCTCTACTCACTGTCCTTCCGTCGGGAGGCCAACCATGTCTTTCGCTGTCACGAGTGGACTCCAACGGCACACCACTTCCACCTGCTCTCCGTGTGCACAACTCCCAACGTGTCTGTTCACTTCTAAACAATGTTGATCACAACTTTTACACCATGACGACGACCTCTTTCTCCAATCCACTCACCACGACATGATTCCAAGAGCAAAGACTCTTCCACACCTTCCGACGTCTACTTCTTTTCGTTTCAGCACAACATAAACATACAATCGCCTTCAACCTTAAGCCTGCTCAAACCTACTTCGCTAAAGCTAACAACGGTCCACCAATGATCCGACACCGCTTCCTTGCGCTGCTTTGTCGTCACCTTCGTAAGTACGACGGGGTTCCAAATCCATTTCAGTTACACCAGTGGGCTCGCCAAACTGCGTACGTCAAAAAGCCAACAGAGTGACCCCCGGAGCCTTCACCATGGTTCCACAACCGCCGCTTCATCAGCCCCGAGTTAACCCGCATAACTTGCCAACAACTCCGGAAAGTTGTACATATTAACCTTGCCAAGCTTGTCTGTCTTTACCAAGTACGTTTCCCATTAAAGACCCTAAACGCTAAATCTAAGCCCTAAGCAGAGAGAGAGAGAGAAAAAGACTAAGATAGAGAGAGAAAAAAAACTAAGAGAGATAGAAAAAACTAAGAGAGATAGAAAAAGACTAAGATAGAGAGAGAGAGAGAGAAAAAGACTAAGATAGAGAGAGAAAAAAACTAAGAGAGATAGAAAAAACTAAGAGAGATAGAAAAAGACTAAGATAGAGAGAGAAAAAAAACTAAGAGAGATAGAAAAAACTAAGAGAGATAGAAAAAGACTAAGATAGAGAGAGAAAAAAACTAAGAGAGATAGAAAAAACTAAGAGAGATAGAAAAAGACTAAGATAGAGAGAGAAAAAAAACTAAGAGAGATAGAAAAAACTAAGAGAGATAGAAAAAGACTAAGATAGAGAGAGAAAAAAAACTAAGAGAGATAGAAAAAACTAAGAGAGATAGAAAAAGACTAAGATAGAGAGAGAAAAAAAACTAAGAGAGATAGAAAAAACTAAGAGAGATAGAAAAAGACTAAGATAGAGAGAGAAAAAAAACTAAGAGAGATAGAAAAAACTAAGAGAGATAGAAAAAGACTAAGATAGAGAGAGAAAAAAAACTAAGAGAGATAGAAAAAACTAAGAGAGATAGAAAAAGACTAAGATATAGAGAGAGATAGAAAAAAACTAAGATAGAGAGAGAGAGATAAAGACTAAGAGAGAGAGAGAGAGAGAGAGAAAAAGACTACGATATAGAGAGAGAGAGAAAAAAAGACTAAGAGAGACAGAGAGAGATACAGAAAAAGACTAAGATACAAGAGAGAGAGAACAAAATACTAACATCTTTGACACATTCTTTATTACATCATTACACTACACATACAAACTCTTTAACACAAATACACAACTAAAACAATACACTTTTTTTCAAATACATAACATTACAAATGCATCATTACACCACAACAGTACATCGCTAACAAAACCTTCTACAACTCTTACTAACACAAACTAACTACTAACTACAAAACACAACACAAATACTGTTACAACTCACATCACTGTCACAAAATACATAAAATACAAAATACACTTTTAAACATTCTTTATTACATCAATACAATACAAAAAATCCTTCACAATAACACACATTGCAATACTCAACAAAAACAATACACTTTTCTTAAAACTACACACAAAACCCCAACTTACATTACAAACACAGACAGACACAACAATAAACACAACAAAGTCACATAAACAATAGCCAAACACAAATCACACAATAAACACTGCTAAGCAATAACAGCGAGCGCCAAACAGTCACAAACATTACAGCAGAAAAAAAAATAAAAAACACAGAAAAAATACCCCAAAAGGACACAGGCTAACACAAAACCATTTAATCAGCCTTCACAACAACCTGCCACTGAGAACAATTGCAACAAACCACACAGCAATGCGAAATCCCACACACAGCAACAACAAATGTCACATGAACAGCAGTCAGCACATCAAATCACAAAACAATACCCACAAACTCCAATGCAACAAAGCTCTGCAAATTTTGACACACAAAACACTCTCACAAACGGTACCGTTTCACTACACACACCAAACAACAACACAAACAATGCTAAACACACACAACACAGCCAAACACAAAGACACAACAATAAACACAACAAAGTCACATAAACAATAGCCAAACACAAATCCCCCAATAAACACTGCAAAGCAATAACAGCGAGCGCCACATAGTCAAACATTACAGTGAGAAAACAAACAAAACCCCCCCCAACAGTACACAGCCAAACACAAAACCATTAAATCAGCCTTCACAACAACCTGCCACAGAGGGCAATCACAACAAACCATACAACAATGCCAAAATCCACACACAACAACAACAAATATCACATAAACTGCTGTCAGGACATCAAGTCACTGAACAATACCCACAAACTCCCATTCAACAAAGCTCTGCAAATTTTGACACACAAAACACTCTCACAAACGGTACCGTTTCACTACAACCACACACAATTCAAACACATAGTCACAAAACAAAACATACAACACAAACAAAACAATACACCCCCTTACTGAGCAACACATAGCATTACTCAGAAAGTTACGTCGCTAACACCCACGACACAACCCCAAACACTTCTACCTGACTACCAACAGCACTACGATGTCACATTTCAACTACTTCATTTGAACACAAACATAATAACAACAACACTTTCAGTGAATCAGCATGTCCTCACAGATAGGCCTTTACCAGACCATTAGGTCACTAATGCTATGACTACAAACTCATCTCAGCAACCTCTCCCATTTACTGATTGAGTGGTTGCATTTCAGCATAACGCTACACCGTCCAAAGAGCGGCTCACTAAACCAGAGGGTACCGGCTCTGGTTTTGGACACCGCATCCATGAACTCGGCAGCCGCTGAGAACTCGTGACTGGATTCCTTCAAACACCACGAAAAAGAGGAAGAACACTTGTAGTAGTAGTACATGCAAAGTAATCTGTAGTAGTAGTAGTGCATGCAAACTAATGTGTAGTAGTAGTAGTGCATGCAAAGTAATGTGTAGTGCGAAGGTAATCCACATCACTAAGCTCTCACTCATTGTAAACTACAACTGCTATCGCTAACCCTTCCCTCGCTAAACTAATACCCCATCTTTGACTCTCCGTGACACCACATGCTGATTCTTACAACATCGCCACAACACAACCACCAACAACAATCCATTGTTGTTGGTGGACCTCCTGTCCTTTGCGCCCATTCCAGGTCCTCGGAGTCCGCCACTTGAACGTCGACGAATCCCTTTAGTCTTCCAGCACCTTGGCAATATCTTCACTCCGCCACGGCCCCGACAACGCAGTTCTGACTTCTGACGCAGTCCTCCTTAGCCTCTCCGACTCCCGTACTCCCAGCTCCACATCCAGATCCAACGTGTACCTAAACATCAACAAATCGCTTTACTTTTCCTGCACCTTGGCACTAACACACAATTGTGCACTCAAAACTCAATACTTACCTTCGCTCCCCCACAGCACCCGGAACGCAGCTCCGACTCCCGTACCTAAACATAAACACATCGCTTTACTTTTCACACACCTCGGCAAAGACTCCAAATCCTGCTTCTACAACTCCATACTCACCTTCTCTCACCCACGGCACACAGGACTTCTGATCCAGTCCCCGTTACCTCCGACTTCTCATGCAGTCCACGTTAGCCTCTCCGCCTTCAACCAGGATCCATCTTCTTCCTACTCCGTCACCTCCGGTCCCCCAACTCCTACTCACACATCACATTGGTCACACATTCGACAAATGACCACATCACCCACAAACCTCTACTCACTGTCCTTCCGTCGGGAGGCCAACCATGTCTTTCGCTGTCACGAGTGGACTCCAACGGCACACCACTTCCACCTGCTCTCCGTGTGCACAACTCCCAACGTGTCTGTTCACTTCTAAACAATGTTGATCACAACTTTTACACCATGACGACGACCTCTTTCTCCAATCCACTCACCACGACATGATTCCAAGAGCAAAGACTCTTCCACACCTTCCGACGTCTACTTCTTTTCGTTTCAGCACAACATAAACATACAATCGCCTTCAACCTTAAGCCTGCTCAAACCTACTTCGCTAAAGCTAACAACGGTCCACCAATGATCCGACACCGCTTCCTTGCGCTGCTTTGTCGTCACCTTCGTAAGTACGACGGGGTTCCAAATCCATTTCAGTTACACCAGTGGGCTCGCCAAACTGCGTACGTCAAAAAGCCAACAGAGTGACCCCCGGAGCCTTCACCATGGTTCCACAACCGCCGCTTCATCAGCCCCGAGTTAACCCGCATAACTTGCCAACAACTCCGGAAAGTTGTACATATTAACCTTGCCAAGCTTGTCTGTCTTTACCAAGTACGTTTCCCATTAAAGACCCTAAACGCTAAATCTAAGCCCTAAGCCTACCCACCTCATACCCACTTAATTACACATTAAATACCTACACATTACTAACTACTTCGCAAGGGACATTATTCCCCTGCCGGGAGGCCTCCCAAAAGTTCTAAGTGCCTCACTAGGACACAGTAGTCTTTACTAGAAAATGTACTCAGCAAATACAGACAAGCCAGCAGTATATTTTATAAATGACAAGTTCTGCGGGGTCACCAGTTGAAGATAGTGGGACGGAAGCTTCACCCGCCACTGCCCCTCCATTGGCCCCTGGCGTACGCAGCCCGGTCTGACGGTCGGTCATACTGAAATGAACCCTTTGCCGTCGCCGTAATTCTTACACGTTTGACTTTG